AGAGAGAGAGAGAGGGGGGAGAAGCCATAGTTGCTATCTGGTTGAGACCCATTGCGTGTGTGTGCGGCAAAGCGGAGACAAACATTCTTGTATATTGATAATAATATTGGAGACTACATCTTCAAGTGTTGATTGTATCTCGATTTGGCTTCTCAGGTGTGAACTCTCATGTGAATGTTCATTGATGTATGCGAAGTTGAGCTTGACGAATACTTGGCTCATTTCACTGTGGCCCTGGTGGATTGATTGTCTCTCTTTGTCACGTTGTTCAGATGCAGCACTTTTCTGAAAGTCAGGCATTCTTCAGGGACCATTCTATCTACAAGATTTTTTCATCCCTATCTGATCTGCTAAAGGACGAAGAAAAGCTGTCAAATAAGTTGAAATAACAGCATTTATTAAAGTTTATTCTTTGTTAGGTCGGGACTGTGTGGACCCTGAAGACGCCCGGGGCCAGGAAATCTGTCAAACAGTGTCAGAATTGAATGAAGGGGTACTTTTAGTGCTTTGAGGGTTGGTTTGCGAAGGACGTGTCACGTGAGGGGGTTAGGAGCATGATATGATTTGATACAAAAAACTGTCCGAAAAATTTCCAATTACTAGACCTATCCCCTGCGGAACCCCTCTGCCCTCCCCCACCACATCACCAGACCTATTCCGCCTGGCCCCATGCTTAAACCACCAGTACACGGCCTCAGCCTTGCAGCAAAATAACTTGTTGCCACAAGAAGTAAAAGGCGGGCTCGGGGCAGGGTCGGAGCGTCAGAAGGTTTTCAAATTTTTGGGCCCATCTCAATTGTGCGTCCCCCCCAAAAAAAAGCCTTTGGACGTGATTGGAGTTGGATACACTTTTTGGAGTACTCGTGCGAGTTTGCCCTCAGTGAGGGCACTTCAGCAGAACGTAGAACACGGGGAGCAGGACTGTCGGACTCTCAAAAAAAGAAAAAAAGACACAAAAGCCTTTGGCCGTGATTGSAGTTGGATACACTTTTTGGAGTACTCGTGTGAGTTTGCCCTCAGTGAGGGCACTTCAGCAGAACATAGAACACGGGGAGCAGGACTGTCGGACTCTCAAAAAAAAAGACCAAAAAAAGAAAGCCAACAACGCTTTGCCCGTGAAAGTAGTTGGATGCATTTCAACGTGGCTAGTGTGAGTATGCCCTCAGCAAGGGCGTTTTGAGTAAGAGGAATATGCGCTGCCTTGCTGGCAGGGCCAGGAGAAAAAAAGACAAAACGAGAAAAAAATTCAAAGAAAGGAGAAACAGCAACGTTTCCCTCTCCCTGTAATAGTGGTCAGATGCATTCAGGGAGGTGATCATTTGCTTATGGCCTCCATGACGTTCACGACATCATTGCTCTCTGGTTTTTTTTTTTTTTTTTTTTCCGGTTCAGGCAGACTGGCGGCACCAGTGCCACTTCCGAAATTCCCACTGCAGGTACCCTCACTTAGAAGGCTCGGAAAATAGTGGCGCGCAGTGGGCAGGTAGGTTCGGGATTTTTGGCGCGGGTGTACTGGTGGTTTAAGGGCAATACGAAAAACCACGAGCCAGAATGCGTCAACCGTTTCCTTCTTCCAAGTACAAACAAGGCAGATTGATCTGTTATGGATGCACATACCTGACCAACCCTTAAACTTACAAAAAAGACTGGAATTTTCTTCAAGGATATGCTTGGAGTTTTGGTCTTTTGCCAGGAATATCCCTTGGATTATACAATCTTTGCGTGCTGAGAATGTAAGAGATTTTTGAAATAAGAGTCTTGAGTACATGCATAAGGCCCCTCCGTTGGCACTGGCAAGAAAAATTCTCTGGTCTAGCAGTCGCACAAGCTTTGGAATTCAATGTTATCTGCAGTTCAGTAACCTGTTCTTATGGCATTCGTATTCACGCTCCCCACGATCATCCCTTAGTTGTTCCCCAACTTCCGCAATCGTTCTTCCTCGTTCTCATATTGACTCTCTTGCTTGGTCTGCATCATGCAGTGGGCATGACTCTGATTTCTCCTTGTCTCTTCCTGTTCTCTCTCTCTCTCTCTCTCTCTCTCTCTCTCTCTCTCTCTCTCTCTCTCTCTCTCTCTCTCTCTCCCCCCCCCCCCCCCCCCCCCTCCACTCCCCGCCCCAATTTCTCTCTTTCCCCTCCCTGTACCACCTCCCTTGCCCCCCTCCTTCCCCTTTTTCATGTTTTGGTGCAGGGGATCAATGAAGAAGCGTCAACGAGTGTTGGCTCATTTGAGTTGGTGGATGGATCACAGGTTTGTAGAAGCAACTTGTCACTAAACAGAACTTGCTGTAAACATTTGGCACACCCTGCGCTGTCTGGGTCGATATCGGGATATCTGGGCAAAACAACCAGTTGCACGTGTCCTTCAATTAGCACAAGATTGGAAATTTTGGAAGTTTTCAAGTTTTCACCATGAGAATCTGCTGAAACGGACGTCAAATGCAAAATTGGACCACAATCAACTTTTTGTCGAGGGTCACCACAAATTCCTCAGCAAATTTGTGGTTAAAGAAAAGGGCACCACCTGATATACCCCGCTACGCCTCAAACTCATTCTTTGGTTTGTTGAAACACTTGTCCACAAGCCCTAAGAAATGCACTGGCCTCAGGATGGAGTCCTAACTGTGATTTTGATTGTATATATGTATTACACAGTGAGAAGTTGCGAGTCTATGACTTGGAATGTACTGGCAACTATCTATCGTGCAAGTTTGAATGAACAGGTAGGCGAAGTTACTTTCGGCTTTGGGGGAAAAAAACGTACTAGTAGTTGATGATCACATAGTGGAACTAGTGTAATTGTGGGGAAGCAGTTCGTTCCGATGATAAATGAGGCCACACTGCCGCCACAGTGAAAAAAGGAAGTTGGTGGTGTTCTGCACTGGTTGTACCTGCAATGCCCACAGAGGCAGTGAAAGGTAGGCAGGGGTGTTGTACCCCACAGTGAAAAAACCAAGTTGTTGATGCCATGTATCGGTTGTGCTGTGCAATGCCCACAAAGGCATTGAAAGATAGGCAGGGGTGTCGTATCCCGTACATTTATGGTCCCCTCGTGCATGCTGATACGTGTACAAGCGTATGCAATTACCTATGCTCGTACTTGCTCGGCCTGAGTACGGGTTTACTGGGTGACCATGGTCCGCGCCCATAGGGCCTGTTAGGGTGAGGGTGGGGGCGGCTTCCTGTGCCAGTGCAGTGCAACCCATTTGGATTGAAATGGTTTCCCACCTCCCTGTTCCCCTCACCATCCCCCAGTTGTAATTCTTTCTCCATTGTCCTCGTTGTCATTGAGTCTTGTTACCTCTGAGCATTGTCCTCACCCCAGTTGTCGTGTCGCCATCACTGCCACTAGTGGCCGTCGAGAGCTGTGGGAGGTCCCCCTCCTCCCGCACATACTCTTCCTCTTCCTTCTACATCTTCTCCTCATCATTGCTATCCACATTGTCGTCATGGCCACTCTCTTCTTCCTCCATGTACTCTTCCTCCTCACCATCCAAGAGAGAGAGAGAGAGAGAGAGAGAGAGAGAGAGAGAGAGAGAGAGAGAGAGAGAGA